CCCTGGCAAATTTTGACTTAAAGTTACTTTTATTCAACCAGCAAGTTTTGTTTTGGGGTTTTTGTTTTTACTGGAAATTACACAGGCGTCTCCCCAAAAAATAATAAGACAATGTACAAAAAGCATCATTGTGGAAAAAATATTTCTCAGCTTTTATTTATATTTTAGCAAAAAGTGTCATGTCCAGAATTATTCATACCATTCTTAATAATCAGTTGAAAAGCCTTTATTGGCATTACAGCAATCAAACGCTTCCTATAATTGGAGACCAGCTTTTTGTGTGTCTCCACAGGTATTTTTGCCCATTCATCTTTAGCGATGAGCTGCAAATCTTTCAGGTTGAAGGGTCTTCTTGCCATCACCCTGATCTTTGGCTCCCTTCACAGAATCTCAATTGGATTCAAGTCAGGACTCTGGCTGGGTCACTGCAAAACATGAATGTTTTTGTCTGCTAACCATTTCTTCACCACTTTTGCTGTGTGTTCTGGGTTGATGTCACGCTGAAATGTCCACTGGTGCCCAAGGCCAAGTTTCTCCGCAGACTGCCTGATTTTGTTGTTGCGAATCTTCATGTATTGCTCTTTTTGCATGGTGCCGTTTACTGTGATTAGGTTCCATGGTCCATTGGCTGAAAAACACCCCAAACGCATTAGGTTACCACCACCGTGTTTAACAGTGGGGATGGTGTTCTTAGGGTTGAAGGCTTCTCCTTTTTTACGCCAAATGAAGGAAACATCATTGTGACCAACCAATTCAATTTCTGTTTCATCTGACGTAGGCTGCCGGGGATTCCCATGCATTGAGTTTTTCCTTTCCAGTCACCTTTCTCACTCACTATGTGTTAATAGACCTCGCTGCATTGAATCATATCTGTTATTAACCTCTGTCTCTCTTCCACAGCATGGAAGAGAGACATGTCTTCCTTCTCTCACCCCAACCGGTCGCGGCAGATGGCCGCCCCTCCCTGAGCCTGGTTCTGCCGGAGGTTTCTTCCTTCCTTTTCCTTCCCACTGTCGCCAAAGTGCTTGCTCATAGGGGGTCATATGATTGTTGGGTTTTTCTCTGTATCGATGAAGCGCCTTGAGGCGACTTTTGTTGTGATTTGGCGCTATATAAATAAAATTGAATTGAATTGAATTGACCATAACACAGAAGACCACAAGTCTTCTTCTTTGTCCAGATGAGCATTTGCAAAGGCCAAGCAAGCTTTTGTGTGCCTTATCTGGAGAAGTGGCGCCCTCTGTGGAACACAGCAGTGTGCTGTGTCCATTGGACTGTCTGCCTTGGGACATTGCCACCAAAAGAGCCCAGATTCACCAGGATGGCCTTGGTGGTGATCCATGGATTCTTTTCCACTTCTCTCACTATCCTCCTGGCCAGCACAGGTGTCACTTTTGGCTTCTGACCACGTCCTCTGAGATTTTCCACAGTGCAGAACATTTTGCATTTTTTAATAATACTTTGCACTGTAGCCACTGGAACTTGAAAACATTTAGATATGGCCTTGTAGCCCTTTCCTGACTTGTGAGCAGCCACATTGTGCAGCCGCAGGTCCTCACTGAGTTCCTTTGTCTTAGCCATGTCTGTCCACAAACCAACTGCAGAGAGCTGCTGTTTTTCACCTGTTGAGTTGATTAAAACAGTGATTCTCAATTAACCAGGGTACTTAGGATGCTTTAGAACAGCTTGGACTATTTGGAATGATATAGAACTTTGGATTTTCCAAGAGACTGTGACAGTTTGTGAAGCATATGAATAATTCTGGACATGACACTTTTTGCTCAAATGTAAATAAAAGCTAGGAAATTTTTTTCCCCCATAATAATGCCTCTTGTACATCATCTTATTATCTTTTGGGCGACACCTGTGTCATTTCCAGTCAACAAAAAAAAAAAAAAATGCTGGTTGCATAAAAGTAACTTTAAGTTAAAATTTGAATAATTATGAGCGTGACTGTATCCTTTATTTACCCAGTTAAATAAAGTCTTGTTGACATCAAAAATGTAGTTTTGAAATGTCCAAGACATTAACAGAGATTGCAGCTAATATAACATCATAATTCTATAAAGATATTTTAAGTGACCAAAAGGGACTGGATTGATTATAGTGAAGGTACAATAATGCAGTCATAAAGATACCTCTTTCATAATTTCTTTATTTTATATAGAAATTTATTTATAAATCCTGTTCACTATAGTCTATTTACTAATATAAGTAGACAAAACACATATTAAAAAAACACATTAAAACAATTGAAATCACTTTTTGCCCGGCTTACACACATTATTCTAACACAGGTGCGACCTGGCCCTCAGAAGTTTAGGAGATAAATATCCTGAAATATCCAGAGAGGCACCAGCTTGTTCAAAATGTCTGTAAGGACATTCATCAGGGACGGTGTGTGAATCTCTTTTGTGTCATGGTGGTCGATAACCATGTTTTTAATCCCAAATTAGAGAATGATACTCAGATGAGGGGAAAATTCCAAGAATTTCCAGGGGGATGAAGGTCATTAATCTGATGCTTTTCTAACCTTGTAGTTGGTCTTTAGCATGTAACGTCATTTGAATCAGATGTTGTACACCATAGGACGTGTTTCAGCATCTTTATCTACAGTACTATTGTTTTCACTTTTGCACGGGTCTTGTGATGTCTGCCTTTTGCGACAGGGGGTGCTGCAGACCCCCGCCTCCCTCCTTTTTGGGTTCTTGCATGTGGCACTAAAAATATGATGAAGTGTGCAATTTGAAAAAGGTTCTTAGGCTTTGGAAACAGGGGCAGTTGGCAACACAAATGGTAAGGCGGCGAATTGAAGCTTTAATGAAGTGATGTATCAGGCAGCAATTACTCACACATTTAAATTCACTTGATGAATAAGATCTCGGTTTTTTTAAATTTGTTTTTATCACTATGATCATGGGTTTTAGAGCATCACCCTAACGTATGAGACTTATACATTAAAAAAAGAAACTCAAAATCACACCTTTGCGTATTTGTTAAACGTACCACTCCAAAACCATGCCCACTACAATAAAAACTCCACTCATCTCAAGACTCTGGAACTGCAGAGAACAGTGAGGTTGATGGTGATAACGTGAGAAGGTCGGTGTGATGCTTTGCATTCCATCTGAAACTCAGTCGGATACTCAGTGTTGTCAAGTGGGCAGAGCTTGGTTGGAAAAAGGTGATGACAATGGGTATTTTCCTATTTAATCATTAAAACAAACCTCAGTATTTAGAGTCCTTGTTACTTGCATAAATACATCTCAACGTACAAGTTCAATTACTATGAAGCTGTTCTGTGAGTTGGCTCCTAAAATATTTCTATATTGACCAGAATTCTTTCCTTACTTCACATCAGCTTTGGTAAAACCTTTGGCACAGAGAGTGTAACTTCGATCCTTTGATCTCTTGCACTTATTTGGAAAACACTACCACCGTCACTACTACTATGCATAAGAAAAGTAGAACAGAGCGACAGTGCGCGAGAATTCATAATAGCAAAAAATAAACCAGAGACTCTGTATGGGTGGCAAATAAATTTTTAATCTTTCTAGTCATCTACTTGACTTTAATTTTCAACATGTTTGTGTCAGCCTCTTTGGTGGATCTAAAAGCCACAGGGGATGTTTTGCTCAGGCAGAGAGTAACCGCTTATCGCTTAGCTTGATCGTGTGATTGAGTTATACATATATCTATATATATATATATACAACACTCTTTTGCCACATACTATCTAATCTAGTTGTCAGACGTATAAGGTTGCGATTAAGTCTTACCGAGGAACTCATTTTAATGTGTGTTTTTGTTTGGCAACTTTTTACGCAAAGTTACAAAAGCTTAAACGTAAGGATTTCAGTTGCAGGGCCACCACAGTGAAATGTGTGTACAATAAAGATTGTGCAGTAATGCAATAATTTGGATTTGTTTTATAAAGTGCAGCAATTATATTCCTGTCTTCAGAGGTTTAGAGGGCTTTGGAGGCAAAAGCGAGACTTAGTATAGAGTATTGCTTTCAACAGCCAGTATCGAGATGATTATAAACAGTGAATATTGGAACAAGATGAAACCACAAGCCTAGACCAAGGCTTCACCAGACGGATTTATACCGATGAGTTAACGCTGAACACCTTCACAGCAGTGGTTTGAATAACGCTTTCTAGATAACTCTGTACAGCTGCATCTGGAGGAGAGGCCTCAGCAAAGTAGAACAGACGTGGTTCACTAAATGACGTTGAATTTGTTTAGCACAGCAAAAGAAACACAATTAAATGCACTTCACTTGCTCAACTGTAGACTTCCTTTAAGGACTGCACAGTGCATGAAAAATATGTTTCATTTTTGCTCTTACTGATCATTAAAGACTGTGAAAACAGTAACTGCTGAGATAGTTTAATCCAAATTATGATGTTTTAAAGGATTAGTCAGGTCTCATTCACAGTTGTACAAGTGTCTTTTAAGCACAAAGTCTTTCACATAAATCAGGATGCACGCATGCACGACCCTCGTGATAGTCTCACAGGAAGGAAACACGTCAACCCTGTTTCAGTTTTGTCCCTTCATTTGTGCCCAAGCTGCATTTTCTCACATCTACTAACATGTGTGTTTGTGGTGTACAGAAAAAGAACAGAGCAATGAGGGTGCTAAACTGAAAAAAAAAAAAAAAAAGTTGCAAAAATGCAAGTACAGATGCAGCGTGGTCTCTAAATCATCTATGAAACGATTAGCAGGAAAAGGAGCTTTTAATGACTGGCTGGTTTTCAGGCTCCTTTTCAGATTTAACTGAAAGCTTTAAAGAAAATCTCCTGAAGTGTTAAACTGATGCTGAATCTGAGTGGAACATATGGAAATGAGGGTCATTATCAGTAGTAAATTCAGGTTGGTGTCTTCATGTGAATACTTTCCAGTGGTCATACTCAAAACTCATGTAGGTGTTCCTCATAAGACAGACTCCTCACACACCAGATGTCAAATGGAAATACTTTATTTATTAACAAATGTTTGCTCTTTCGTCTCCTGTTGAAAGAAAATAGGAGTATATACTTTATCTGTATATACTTTTAAACTTAAGCATAACAACATTAGTTTTATAGACAAATATTTAGATCAAAACCAAAATAAATACTTAGAAAATGCTGAAATTAAATCAGAACTTTAGTGTCAAGTGACTCCCCCATTATCAACAAAACACACAATACTTCTTTCTGCATGTGGTTAATTTAATGTCACTGCCTTTTTTAAGGTGCCATTCACGAGAATGTGCACTATTTCCCTGTTTTTACCTTCAAAGATCATATTATGCAGAGTGCAGTTATTGTGTATGATAGAAATAACATTCGATATATCAGTCAAATAAAGTAATGAGTAAGTTTCACTTCTGCCTGAGTTGTTTACATTCAGTTGCGTACAATTTCAATATAGGACACAATGCCCAACACCCCGGATTCTTTAGATTTTGTATAGACCAAAGAAGTTGCCATAATGCGAGTGACTAAGATATCTTGGGTGGGATACATTCACATAAACTCTGTCATATTTTTCCAAGTGCTCGACCGAGCCGAGGTAACTCTCTGTGGTCCACGAGTAGCTCGTCTGCTGAGGGCAGAAGCCCCCCCTGTGGGCTTTCATCAAAGTCCGAGGTCGGGTATCTGTTGCTCTCCTCACAAACACAGTGTGATCAAATGAGGATATACGTGAGCATTCCTTAAAGATCAACTCAACCCGTGAGTAAATGTGGTAGAATCCGGTCTCATTGACCTGCAGAGCACCATCTGCAGTGAGATAAGCCACTGCTCCGGAGATGAATGCCCGACTCGCCCTTGAATCCCATCTTAAAGTCATAGGGTATTCTGTTTTCTCAATTCGCCCTGCCAAATGAAAGATCTGATGTTAACAAATGTGCAGTTTGTAACAATCAAAGAGCATGGCTTAAATTTAAAAAAAGACTTACCTATCACATGTGCTGCAGATCTTTTGCTTTTGTCCTGACCATTAAGGCCAGATTCATCAAGACCTGAAACAACACACAGATTAGAGTCACATCATCTTTTCTTATTCTTTAATGGGAAAAAAAAAAAGCTGTGTGATGAGAGAGGCCTACCGATTTGCTTCTGGGGTACACTAAACTCAGCCGCAGGTTGGTTCACCTTCAGTAAAACAAAAGTGACATAGAAGTCTCAATACCACATCATAGACGCTGTGTCTCAGTGCTTATTTCTAAAACTCGCAGAGAGAGGATATCCTGTCTCACTGGACTGGTGACCACAGATGGAACAATGAAGCCCTTGGTATGCCTTTTAAATGTCAAGGCACAGCTAAAGAATAACACATCTGTAAACAGTGCCAAACCGAAGTTAATTAATTAGTAAACTTTGCTGGTCTGCTAAACTTTCCAACTACTCTTCCATTCTCCCACCTTACACCTACCCATCACTCCCCCTCTATGCATGGGTGACAGTAGTCACCTTTTTCACTTTTGGTGCGTGTCACCAATTAACACATCTGAAAAACCAAAACCGAACATAAAGGAATGTTATTAAAATTATGTCTTTGCAAATGTTACTTACTCCCCTGCTTTGTTAAGAGTCATCACATCATTACTGTATCTCTTTCTTGATTGCACTAATCATTAGCTTATTAACTCACTGTAAGATCGTTGGATTTGTTCATTCTTATGAATTTTCCATGTTAGTCCTTACCTCTCCATCACTGTTCCTCAGTTGGTCCTCTATCCTGGAAATCTTAAAGGCTTCAAATCCCAGGGCTGCAAACACGAGCAGAAACAGAAAGAGCACGACCAATGCAAGCCCGGGGCTGATTCCCATGCAGCCCTTACTCTTCCCACGGCTCTTCATTCTCTCCTGGGCAGGCGGGAAGGACCAGCAGGGTATAAGACTTGGAGGCTGAGCAGAATCCTGCTGTCTTCCTCCTCCTCCTCCATCCACAAGAAACATTTGTGGAAATGGATAGTTCTGCTCAAAGTTCACGGTGCAGGCCATACCACTGATCTGTGATGTGTGACAGATATGTGCATCTATGTCCTCTGCAAAAAGGTGGTGTGTGCTTCTGTCTGAGCACCTCTGACTTAAAAGAAGCTGTCAAGGCATTCACCACCCACAACCCTCCCACGCATTGAAGAGAGCATGTCATTTTACATGAAAATTTTAACCACTGCTTATTTCCTCTGGGCTGTTTTGTTGTTTTGGGTTCGTTTGTGTTTTTCAAAATATTGCCATGTAACTTTTTATTTAAACTTTATCAAATAATTTGGTTTTTCTATGCTTCATAGGTCACCTATATGAGTGTACTGTGCAACTAAGTCTGAGAAGAAAGGAAGTTAGAGGTTTCAATTGACCCTCACCTCACTAACCACCTTACAAGTCACTTGAGACATGAAACTTTTTCACAAATTCCACAAAAGGAAAGATTGAGTAACTACAATCACCTGCACTGGATGTTAGAAAAGTGTAAAAAGTCTAGCTGCCCAGTTGACATAGTTCTGAGCTTCTTTACTGGCCTTTCTGGTTTGACAAACTGAAACTTGAAATTTGAACCAGAGAGAGATGTCGCACAAATCTGAATCGTTTTAGAGAATAAACACGTCATTGTCAAATGGTATTTTTCCTTTGATTTACTCTTAATGAGACACAGTCTGTTAGTAAACAGTGATACAGCAGTTTCAATAGCACACAGAGTATTCTTGGTGGGATGATTGTGCTGCCACATAAAAGAACGCACATCTCTGCACTGGCTTTCCTGCCGTCTGCTTGTGAAGACTTGACAGCAACGATACTTCAGAGGTGAGACTCAACCCCAACCAATACCTCAGAGATGGGCTTCCAGGAAAGCTGAGCACACACCGCTTCCCTCCCTGCTCAGTGCATTGTTAATAGCGTTGTGGTCTTACTGACATTTTGGGTTGGTTTCCTAGGATATGGAGCAAATGCGCCTGCCATCTCATAGTTGTGGGTGCAGCAGTTTCCATTACCTATTATCTTTCAATCACAAAATTCTGCTTACAAGCACAAGTAACCCCTATTAGTGGGCTCTTGGGACAAAAAAAAGTGTCTTTCGAGTTTCGACCTTGCAGCTGTGAGAGCTGCAAGACATTTAGAACTGCATCGAAGCAAACGATTTACATCAGCTGTGAATTTAACTAATAACGCCCATTGTCTAGATTCTGTAGTCTTTATCTTTTTTTGGTATTGGTATATTTTAATCAGTTCGGTGCAAGTCCTCAGTCCTGTCCTCAACTGTTTCATTTTTCCAAGTTCATGCAGAGACAGTGGGAACTCCACCATAAAGTGTGCAATAGGTTCGAAGTAAAATGGCAACTACGTCACACTTAACCATAAATTGCACAGACTGCATTTAGTCTACAAGCTGATGTATCTGTTTCCCAGAAGTGTCATGCTGAAAGCGGTCCTCGCAGCAACAGTAGCAACAGCTTTAGCAGCAAAGAATGGGTTAGGTGGGAGGGTGGGGTTTTGGGGTCTAACCAGGCCGTCTACGCGGCTGCTCCAGTTAATATAACCTGAAAGAGAAGACTAAAATGAATCACTGAATCAGCAAGTGACTCTATCAATTAGTTGTCTTCTCACACATTCTTCTTCTGTTGCATAATGGAAGTTGATGTGGTCAGGATGACTGACTTTGCTCAGAGGTGCCTGAAAATGACAATGAACTTCTCTACCTGAAATCAACGACATTACTCATCCTCTTTGGAAACATGCAATTTCCTTACACAGCAGGTTTTGTAACTTTGTCCTAAAATACTTCATAGTTTTCATAAATGAAGGTATTGTTATGACATTATATGACAAGAGACATTTATATGCTAATATAAACTTTGGATGGATGTGCTAAATGAACACAGGAGATGAAAGAGTTTTCAATAAACCATTGTATTATAAAATATGTAATATAAAAAACAAGTTATGTGTCAGAGTCATCATCAGAAGAAGAATAACAGTCTAGTCCCAAGACATGACCAGTCCTTTCCTCCATTGTCTCAATGTTGGATGACTTCCCAGGTATCCTCCCTGCTGCTCCACAGTTTGAGTTATTCTCTTGGAAGGCAGCTTTCTGCCCAACAGTCTCTGATACCCCATCTTTGCTTTTCTCTGAATATATTTGTCTTGAATGGGAATTATTAAGATTTGGCAAGCCACACTGCAGGATCCTGGCAAGACTCTGCGTTTGAGAGGAACTAGGCTGAACTGGTGTTCCTCTGAATGAAGCAGCAGCCACTGCCAGCCGAGTTTGATCAAAAGAAAGCGGCTGGTCCTGAACTGCGCACATGGCCTTTGAGGTTTCAGAGACCAGCTTAGTGGGTGCAAAACATCCTGCCATTCTGCTAATAAAGACACTTTCATTTTGCTGACTGCCATCGTTTTGTGAGTCACAGGTCCGAGGGTTTTTAACTGTAAATAAAAATGAACACACGTGAGATATATGTATGACCAATACCACTGTCTTAAAGCAACAACAAAACACACAATGTTAATTTCACAGGATAACAATTTGTGTTAAAGATGATTATGTTTTAATATAATTTTTTTACGCTACATCTGGCAATTTAAAAATTGTGTTGTTACTGATATAACTGTTTGTTCTAATTTTTATATTGTTATTTTTTTTCCAGGTGGTCTCAAAAATATTATAGAATATTTTACTGAGTATCAATATGAGAGATTGAAATGCATTATGTAGCATGAACGTAATGATGCATTAACCTTCTCTTTCATGGCGTGCATTTTTAATTTCTCTTTGCTATTTGGGCTGATTGGGACCTGATAAAAAAACAAAAAAACAAAACAAAGAACTGACTTTTTACCTGACTTTGCTCTACAAGGGCCTGATATCCACATGAGGACATTTGTTTTAAAATTTGATAGAACAGTGGCAGCATAATGTCCTTGTAGAGCCAAATTTAGTACTGTGGTCTAGACCAGCAGTCCCCAACCCCCGGGCCTCGGACCGGTACCGGGCCGTGAGAGTTGAGGCTCAGGTGTGAAATGTGCGGTTTTCAGGGTTTTTATCGGTTTTCAGCGTTATTTTGTTATCGTTTTGATCATTAACTCGGTTTTCCTGGGTCTTTTCACGTGTGTTATGAATAAATCTTCTTTTTTTCGGTACCGGTACTAGTTTTATTTTGTTGTATTTATCCGCGACACATTAAAGACCGGTCCGTGAAAATATTGTCGGGCATAAACCGGTCCGTGGTGCAAAAAAGGTTGGAGGCCGCTGGTCTAGACAACCCAAAATGTGATGTCCACATATGTGGACACCAGGTCCTAGGAGGTTAATATTTACAAGGTAAACACCTTACATTAGTCAAATGTAATGTCAGCTCAAAATAAAAAAAAGATGTATATGCTAACTCACAGATTCTATATTGTTTAGTAAAGTCTTGTTACAAGGCCTTGCGTTACAGTTGTGGTCTGCAGTTTCCATCCAGTCATCATGAGCATGAATGTAAGGATAGTTGTAGGCTCTTCATGATTTCCTTGAATTGTTTTTTTTTTCCAGAGAAGATTAATTATGTAACATTAAAATTAAATGACTTTAAAAAACAGGAATTGGGGCGCAGAAGTTTAAATTATCACTTATTCTAATTATTATTATTGAATTTCTCTAATTCACACAAGATCAAAATTTAGGATGAAATATATAATTTGATAACTCTCGCTGGATGTTTTACCACTGTTCTTGGCAAAATTACTAGAGTTCATTTAAATTGGTTATTTTCATGTCACAGACCTGGTTATTCAATAGGATTGAGGCTGTGGCTTTGGCAAAGCCATTCCAGGATCTAAACACATCAAAAAACATGTGGACACTTGTGTCCATGTTTCAACCATTTGGCTGTTAAACTGAAGGGAAGTTGTAGAAGTTGAATGTAGTCCCCTTTCATTATATCGTCTACTTTGTGTAATGTACCTGTACCACTGACAGCAAAATGGCCCCACAGCTTCATGCTACCACCATTACCAGATTTACCTGAAGGTGCATATACTTTTGACCCTCTGAAAAGAAAATTCAAAAACTCATCCTGGAAAAAGAACTGTTCAAAGAAATCATGAAAAATTGCCATTCATGGTATTGATGGTACCATTCATTCCTCTTATTCATGCCCATGTTGAGTGTATACAAACAACTAAGTGTTTTCACCGTCAACATCTTGGAGTTTTGAAACCTGATGCCACGAGCTGGTGATGGATCTGAATGCGAAACTCAAAGAACACACTCACCAGCTCAGCTTGCCCTGGTCTATCCTGCTTTCTGAAACTAATAATGGCCATCATTTACAAATATTTTATTCAGTATGAACTAAAAGTAGCAAAGTTGTTACTTAGGAGTCACTTAAGCTTTAGCTTCACTTTTCAGACTTGGAAATTATGTATATGGTTTATCTTATTTCCACATTACACATTCAGACTGTATTTTTTGTGACATTCTAAGATGAAATATTCTCATAAGTCAAAAAGAAAAACTATTAGTTTCACTCAAAGCAGAAGATTAACTACTTACCAATTGCTGGAGAATCTTGCATATCTGCTCTTCGTTTGCAATAAGCTCGAGGAGTCCATGGCTTGTGTTTACAAGATGGATCAAGAACTCGTAGTTTGGCAATGAAGCGTTTGTACTCTTTCTCTAAGGCCTCAATGTGCAGCTGAAACTCTCCTATCTTCCTCTCCGGGTAATGAGAAAGTTGTGATTGCTGGAAAAACAACAAGAACTTGGTAAAGTATAAATAAATAAATAATAAAATAAACCCAATCTTGCTTTGTTACAAACACTCACCTGTAGATAATACTCAATTTCATTCTTGATGCTGGGGATCCACTTTTTCACAGCAGCAGCTGAATTAAGAGTAGACTGTGAAAGGAAATGGCTTGATGAAATTAGCCAGTTAAGTGAATTATGGTGACAATTTCATGACTTTTGTGTGTTTTGTTTGCTTCTTCATTACCAGCTTTGGTCGACGCTCGTGAATATCTCTGAGGCGTCCCTCTGTAAAGGAAAAGAAACCAGTGTAGCCAAAGTCCATCTAGAACATAAGTGAGCCCCCCAGCGAGGTGCAATACCATCTTAGATAAAG